CACCATTCTTTGATATAGTCACTTCTTTCTTATGGTTTCCTAGGCTGGGGAGATGTGATTGACGTATATCTTGAGAACCTGAATGAAATTTTGCGATTTAAATATTTTAGAAACAATTGTTGGTAAAGCTGTATATCATCCGACCGACGACTCATTCAATTAAGCTCGCATATATGATGTTAGACAACTTCACAGCCTGAATATTCTGTGCTTTCACAATGTTTCCAAAAAAAAATAACTCATTTTCATTGAGGAAATAAAAAAAATGTGAAAAATGTATTCCTATTCGTATGTCAGTTACGTAAAATTGATTGATTCCTTGTTGCAGGTGATTAGAACTTCTTATTCGTATTTTACACTGATGCAAACACTGTATCAAAAAAATCAAAATTAACACCAAGAGCTCAGTATCACAACCCACAAGAGAAAAAATGTAAAATTTATGTTAATATCAAAATAAATATAACAATGATGTTCAATGTTTAATAAATCACATGCATATCAGCAAGCATTTTACTTTCTACTATTAATGTTCAGTTCTCCATTGTTTTCAGTCGTATGACTCCGACTTATAATTGTGAATTACATGATTGATATTTTTCACGAAAATTTTGTCAACCCAACAGTTCTTCAAATACCTTTTCTGATAGTGTAACGAGATGGGTTTTTCAGAGTAAATAATAATAATTTATGTATGTTATCCAGGGTGTCCATATGGTACATTCACTACATAGACGCAGCAATACCAACTTTCTAAGGACATTTTTTGGTTGGATCAGGCATACCCAGACATGTGGATTGGTAGGCGCCGTTCACCGGATTTTACTCCTTTCAATTTTTTTCTTTGGGCCTATATCAAATTTAATGTTCATGTTACGCAACCTGAAACTTGAAACTCGTGCTATCATTATCTCAAAAATATTCCAGAATGTTAAAAATGAGTTCGAAAATTCACTGTCAGGGGGTTTGAGGAGAACATTTCAACCATTTGCTCAGACAATTGTTGTATGTATGAGATGAATAAATACGAGATTGAAAAAAATATATCGTTCGTTCTATGACCTGAAATCAACACTTATCTATTACAAAAGATGTTACTATTTGATTCCTCTTTCCAATGAAAATGTTTTTCAAAAATTTGCCAGAATGGCGGAGTTACAGAATTTCTAGTCGTAAATTCAAACATCAATAACTCCGCCAATGGTTATCGAAATTATGACAATAGGGAACATGTATTGCCGACCCTTTTAAAATTACAGATACAAAATTTTACAACCTGATCTGTTATGCAGGAAAAGTATAATCGAAATGAAAAACTATATACTCCACACTATTTGAAGCTTTATATCTTCATATCTTCTATTAATTATCTGCGAGTGTTTTCGACAGTTGGTAGTACTGTCATCTTCTAGGCACTCCTCAAACTGAACTTGTCATCCTGTCGTCTGCCTCTTTATACGGTCAGAGCGTCTCAACTCAGGTATTTCAGGTACTTTAGGTAAATTTGCCTGTATTTGTTCTGCATCAGGTATTGTTGTGTTAGATCTTCTCTCTAGGAATGTGTATGGTTTTGTTTAATATATTGAATGAGAGGTCTTGTTGTGTTTTGATTTGTACTTGTTCCTCGATAAGTGATTTATGACTGTTAAATTTATGGATGTTCAAGTTTTCCCAAATGTCCATGCGGTGTCACTTGTTGACTTGTTTTATGAGTTGGGGGAGTGGGGGAAAATTATGTTTGTTTTGTATGGCGTGTGTTGCGAGGTTTGATTTATATACCATTGGATTTATGTATGCTTTTTGTGCTCATTCTACCTTTGGATTAGTTATTTCTTGGTTTGGCCGATATAGCATTTGTTGCAGTCCGAGCATTGTATACTGTATATCCCGTTTTGGTCTTTGTCTTCTTCTTTTTCATAGTTGTTTATTTTTTGTGTTATCTTCGTGTTCGGCTTATATGTGATGTTAATGTTCAGTGGTTTGAAGATGTTTGTTAGTTTTTTGGTTTGGTGTCCTACGTACGTAAATGCTGTCCATCGTTGTGTTGTTTTGTCTGTTGGGGTGGCTTGATCCTTGTTCTGTATTTTTTGTTTGATTCTGTTTTCTAGTTTATCTATTGTCTTTTGGGTGTGTCCGTTTTCGTTCGCTATTCGGTATATGACTTTCCGTTCTTTGTTTCGGGCTTCATTGCTGAGTGGTATCCTTAACATTCTTTATATGAATGGGTTATAGGCAGCCATTTTGTGTGATGGTGGATGGTTTGAACTTGCGGGTATGGTGGAGCTTGTTTGTGTAGGTTTCCTGTATATTGCCATCTGAAATTGTGTTATGTTATGGTTATATCCTATGGTTATGTCCAGGTAGTTAAGTTTTGAGTTGTGTTCTTCCTCAATGCTGAAACATAGTTTTTGATTTATTTCGTTAATTTCTTTTTTTATTTGTTCTATTCTTATTCCATTGTTTTGTTATATGTACAGTCCATCGTCAACGTATCTGAACCATTCACCTTTTTCATCATGTTTTTATTATTGTTAAGATTTTCTCATCTATGGTTTGCAGGTATATTTCGGATATAATGCTAGATAGTGGGGATCCCATCGCTAGTCCATCTGTTTGTTTATAAATTTTCCCTTCAGATTCGAAATAATTTTGATCAAGTATTGTATTTAGACTGTGTTCCATTTGATTTATGTAGGTTTTGTCTATGTTTTGGTGTTTTAGTTTCTCAGATATGATGATATCTGCACTGCACTCTGTTTTTATGCACTTTCGTAATTTTATTTTCTTTAAGGTTTTTCAGTTTACAGGTTACATTATTACTGTAACGTTAGCTTAACCTTTTCTGAACTTAGAGCAAGATAACGATACAAGTGCCACGACTAGCAGTGGGTGATGCAGAGGCAAGAGCGTGGTTCGTTTCTTATATTCTTCATAGAAGCTCAATACTGGGTGCTGAAAAGGGTTACCAAAACCAAGTCCTTAATTGGGCGCCATCTACAGAATTGTATAGAAGTAGGGCACCCTTTTCAACACTCGTCACTGTAGATCAATGTTGCTACACCGGGATATGAGACACTTCCAGGCTACTAATAAAACAAAGAAAAACGGTGTAAAAATTTAATAAAGTAAATATAAAAAATGGGACTGATTCTTATACAAATGAACCAGATTGTCAATGGTTCAAAATGAGTTTTTTCATCCGATGATGGCCTCGATAAGAATTTTAATAAATATAAGAACTTACCAAAAGGTTTAATGCATTAAACCTTACAATATCATATGGAAATCATATTCTTTGAAACCATCAATATAACTCAAAACCGATGACTCGCAATCTTCCACTCCGACTTCTCTAATCAGGTGATCAAGGATTCTGGCAGTCTCCGGTAGATCACACTCCCTTAACGGACTTCCCCAACTCACAATAGGGGAGACCTAGGAGAGTTGTGACAGTTTTTACTTTGAGGGACATATCTTGCCCAAGAAACATTTCTCAGTGATGATCTATGTGAATTAATGTAGCACAATTCCTTCACTTTGCAAAACAATTATCAAAAGCAATTAAAGTATTATGGTTTCTGAGAAAATCAACAAATTCAGAGATTACTATTTCTGTCATAATTCTCCTATCATCGAGGTAAGTTGTGACAGGTACCTAGGTGAGTTGTGACAGCTTTGTATTCAAACTATTAGACTATTACAAAACATCATTATAAATAGAGTAAATCAAACAAAGATTTTCATTTTGCAAAAAAGTATGAAATCATCTTTTATAACATTAAAAAAAAACAACATATAACATTTCTATATTAAGTAATTATATCTTACAAGCAATTATGCCATAATTTTGAGATCAATCATAATATAAATCAGTCAAAAATTTTATTTCAATCTGATAAACAATTATGGCAAATGTATTGCAGCTCATCTCCAGTACAATCTACGTGTGACCATCCTTTGCATTCTAGGCATTGGACCCACTGCTCATTTGATCTGATGTTTGCATAGGCTTCTAGGCAAACCAAGCAAAAGTAATTATTGTTTTCTGCCTCTCCTTCGTCATCACCTGTTCCCTTCTGCTTTTTAGTCCTCTTGGTTTTATTAGGTTTCTTCTTTTCTGCACTCAAGATATTCCTCTTCATATTTCTCGACTTCCTATAAGCTTCTATAGCAGCTATTTCGTCTTTAGTAGGTGTGTCAGTAAGCACAGCAGATTTGATTTTGCGTCTTTGCGGTTGGCTGTTTATTCTTGGCGGGGCTTTCGGCAACGGCCTCACTGATTCTGGTGAAAATACATTAGAAACATTGGCAAGAGGAATATGGACTGTAGACGTGGATGCAATAGGTTCAATGGGTTGAGTATTCAGAACTGTGATATGGGCTGTAGTCGTGGAGGCAACAGGTTCATTGGTATAGTTTACAACTGATGAATTTCTAGATGGCATAGTCTGATTTGTAGATGTACCTGAAATGATGACTCTTGCTTCATCATTATCAACTGTGTCGGTGTTGAGATTTGAAGTTGTGATGCTTTCCGCTGGATTGTCCACAATTTCTGAAACAGATTGCTCTAGTTCTGGGTTGGGACGATCAGTGACTTGACTTGGCAGAAAATCGGTTTCTCCAAATATGTCTGTGTTAACCGGCCACGTTCCAGTTGCAGCAAAACCAGCACTGATATTTCTTGCAGTGATTGCTACATTAAATGCAGACTTTGCAATTGATGGTATATCATATATGGTCATGACTTTGCCGGCATTGCTTCGCATCCAATTATCACACGCTCTATTGATTGCTTTTTTTAAAGGTCCAAAAATAGCACGATCCACGGGCCGTAGCTTGTGCGGACAATGTGGGGGAAATGTGAGTAAAATTATCCCATTTTCTCTACAAAACTCAATGTTTTTCAGTGATGTATGCGAAACATAATTATCTAGAAGCAATAGAGCTCTGTGCTCTTTAGGTGGTTTAACGTGGTTTTTATAATGTTCAAGGAAAACTTAAAAATCATCCTCTTGCATCCAACCTGATCCGTTAGCTGTTCTGATTGAACCAGTTGGACCGTCCCTAATAAAATGCTCTTGGAATCGTTTGCGTGGGAATACAAACATGAGTAGTATATAATTACCTATTGCATTTCCAGCTGAAGCCAGTGTGACCAAATTCCCCCTTTCTGCAGATGTCATAGCACTAACCTGTTTTTCTCCGCGTCGTGCTATTATTCTATCAGGCTTCTGGACGGTAGTTATTCCGGTTTCGTCGATATTCCAAATATCTTTTGCATCAAGTTCATGCTTACTTAAGACGCCTGTGTAGTTATCAAAGAAAATGGCCACATTTGTCTTATTGAAACTGGTAGCGCGAGCCATGCTAGTGGGTTGTGGTAATCTTAAAGATAAATTAGGATGCCGTTTCATAAATAGCTTGAGCCACATTTCTCCAGCTTTTTTATTTTGCCTCCATGTCTCGGGAATTTTTTTATTATATTTTTCGGCTAACTGATATGCAATAACTCTAGTTTCTTTCGTAGTCAGCCCATAATTAGATGCTGCACACGTTAACAAATAGCCACTTGATATATTGTAATTGTACTGAGTTATGTGACTTTTTCCATGCCTTCCCTAGGTCTACGGAAATAAAGATGTTTTGATTTTGATTCTCCTCCTCTGCTGTAAAAATTGTCGGACAGTTGTAACCCATAGATGGAGCCTCACCTACTGGGTTAGCTTGATAAGCCTCTTTCTTCTTAATGAATCTTGACAAAGACATGTAATTTATATTGTAAGGAGACGCAGCATCTCTTAGACTTCTACCTCTTATCTCAACCTCTTCATAAGCCAGGTCGTAGATTTCAACACTTACATTTCCTTTATCAGTCTTTCGTGTATAGTGATTAGGCATTCCTGAAATCAAAAGTGTCCATTTGGCATGTGACATCAAAATTAAGTCAGATAGGAGAGGTGTGACAGACTGTCACAACTCTCCTAGGTGTCCAAAATGACGACTTGGTCCGAATAATAATTCATATTTTCTAAATACGATGGAAACACAAAAGCTCAGCCTTATGCTTTGAGACTTAAATAATCATACTACTCAATAAAAAATAACACAACAATGCACATGCATCAAGACATGATATAATTTCAATCAAAATTTCGAGGAAAAACTTACTTTCCGTATTTTTTTTGCACACAGTTATCGTAATCACACAACCGCTTCTAATGCGACGTCAGTGGGTACTAAGTCAAGTAATGCATCTCTAAAGCAATAAAGCTGCGTTATTGCCAACTAGCTAACTATTGTTAGTAAGGAGAAATTGCCTTTGTCACAACTCTCCTCTGTCACAACTCTCCTTGGTCTCCCCTAGTGGTGCTCCTATCTCAACCAGTTGTGTTCTCGTCCTCTCAATAGTTTTTATAATTTACTACGCCTCACTTTTGCCTGAATGTTAGATTCATTTTTTTATGTATCAGTTTCAATTTTAATTTTACTTTTTTTTGTTGCAGTTTCAGTTTTCCGATTCAATTCACGATTCAATTTCCGATTCAATTTAACTTGGCAGAACTAGAATAAAAAAACTACTGTCAAAAAAATCTCAATTGATTCTACGGTTAGTTTCAATTCACAACTTCATAACATTATTCACTATCATCCCTATTCAATTTACAACCCATAATTACCTCAATAGTTGTTTAGTAACGCTACCGAAGACTGCTTAGAAAAATCCCAGATCTGTGAAAATAAAAATAAGAATTTAGATAATGGGTCTGTTATAGTTCACAATTTGAGATTGAAGAGGAAAAGGTTTATTTTTGTGTTCAGATTGTGTCACAAACAATATGAAATTACTAATGGAGAAACGGAACGTACATTACAACTAACGATTGAGTATGGGCCTTTATACCAATTATCAAACTTTGATCTATTTTCGTTCGTTATCGTAACCAAATCTCCAGGGTTTATTAAGGTATTTTGAATTTTGATCATATTCAATTTTACGTTTCTCCTTTTCCTCAATTGAAAAATATCTACTCTTTGGAGAGAAATTTGTAAACGATGTTTGAGCTGTAGATAATATGCGTCAGGGTTATATACTAGGTCTATTTTGTCAGTCAGTGCGTTTGTCAGTTCGAGTCTTTTTCCAAAAATTAGTTCGAAGGGTTTATAGTTATGATATATACTGTAGGTCGTATTGTAACAAAAACTATAAAATTTTTATCCATTTGTCCCAGTCTAACATTCTAACATACTCGTTAAGTACCCGATGATTTCTCTCACAGCCACCTATACTCTGGTGATGTAGGCAGTGGAGAATTTTTGTTGGATATCTAGTAGTTTACACACTAATGGCCCTTGCGACAGTTAAAGCGTCTTTATTAGGTATAGGCGCTATAACAACGTATTTTGTTAATTCGCACTGAGCTGTAACCGCAGGATTTTACGTAGTTGGCGACGTACTTAGACATATTTTTCCAACAAAACTTAGTCCTGATTTTTTTAAGATCCGCTTCTGTCCACAGTGACCACCAAAAAGTGGATGATTGTGGTACTCTGTTATAATTCTTTCTTTTTCGCTTCTATTTGTGATGATTGTGGGTCCATCATATAGTATTATATTTAATTTTTTTAACGTATTTATACCCTTTCCTTTAAAATCGTTTATTGTACATATTGTAACGAATTAAAGAATTAACTGTCTTAAACAAATGTATTTTAACAATACTTCACTATCACAACTAATTCACTTACACCACGCAGTAACTAACGCTTAATTTATCTTCACCGTTTGTTAACCGCTCGATTCGCTTTCTTGGTACAGACTACTCTTCGGGACGGAGAGCGACGTTTTTATATCGTCAACGAACGTTCCGGATCCCTCTGCGGATTTCGGGACCCATCCGGAGTTTTCGCGGTATTTCGCGATGCGTCATGCGTTTGCTGACTGGGACATCGGTCAGGGCCGGCTTCAGATTCATTACAATAACAAGGTGGCTTATGGATTCGGTAGGCGAGGTCATTAATCTTTTTCATGATTTTGTACGGACCTTTCNTACCCACGTTATACTGGCGCATTGGAGCTTTCGGTCGTATCCTAGGTCCGTTACTGGCAGCGCATACAGCACACTTTCTGCACCAGTCCTTGACGTCGGCTTGACTATTAACCCAGTAAAACCGTAGTCTTACTTTCTGGAGGGTCTTCGTTACTCCCAGATGTCTTCCAGTGACTCCATCATGGATTTCTTTGAGCACCTCCCATCGTCTACTCCTGGGTACCACTGTCTGGTGCCTTTCTTCTGCACCGTCTTCAGACTCCAACACCCGCTTCAGAACCCCGTTTTCCAAAGTAAGGGAGTTCAATTGTGCCCAGTAGGACTTAACCGCTGGCGAATAACCTGCTACCTCCTGCCACGTTGGTTTTTGATTACTTTTCTTCCATTCGATGACTAAACCAAGATCTGGTTCTTTCTCTTGATCTTCCTTGATCTTATCATCCTCTCAGATTTAATTTTGTCTCTTTTAAAGAGAGATATGTCCGCCCCTGTGTCACTAAGCAAGGTAACATCTTGATTACCTGTCATTTGGGTTTTAATGATTACGAAATTAGAAAGTGAAAGATCCACGTTAAAAATATTTATTGGTTCCCCAAGGGACCCTGTGGGGGAAACTTGATGTTTTCCGGGTGATGCTTAAGTCGTTGGGTTCTCCTTCATATGCTCTAACATATCTACCGCCTGCTCCCCTGGCTCTAGAATAACTATAGTTGAATCTATTTCCCCTAAATTTGTTATTGTATTGGTATCGGTTGCTGTCAGAATATGATCCGTTATGCGTTCGAGCATGAGGTTGTCTATTTTGATTGCCACGAAAACGATTGTTAGGCGAAGCCTTATAGGCCCGTCGGTTATTACTATAGTATCCTGAAATATTACCCCTGAAATTTTGCCCTTCGCTATATAGAACATTAGCGTTATTTGGAACATCTATTCCCACAAATTCACTTAATGCTTCTCGTTAGAAAAAGTGCCTGCCTCCATTATTAGCCTGACTTTTTCAAAATTAGCGTTAGATTTAATAGTTGTGACAACCGTATCGGTGCAATAGGTTTCTGCTGTATCTGCAGGTACCCCCCTGGCTTATATAGGCCCTTTTAAGATTTCCTATCAAAATTTCAATTCCATTGGCATATTCGGAACTAATTTTGTTTGTTTGTTTTAAATAAAGAAGTTTAGAGATAACTGATTTTGAACTTTTTATTTTTATACCGTTTTTGAGTTTGTGTATGATCTGTAGCAAAGTCGTGTCATTGTCAGTAATCAAGTCTCTAGCCCTACCACTAAGTTTAGTTTTTACGTAAGCCGCGGCATTTGCCTCATGGCCCGCATAATTTACATTGAGAAGTGAGAGTGCGTCTAAAAACGTCTGTAACTTGTTTGCACTTCCGTCAAATTCATTGGATACTAATTTACTAGCTAAATTTAAAAAATCGATAACTGAAGTAGTCATCACTATCTCCTGAGTCGAGTTCAACAGTTTCGTCTTTTATTGCGAGGTTTATAGGTTCAAGACAAGAACTAGGGATTTTATAACTTATACGCAAAACTTGAAATTATCTTACTACCCTATCTCTAATGGATGTAAATAACTTCACCACTAAATGTCGCTATTCATCATCTAATGCCGAGAATATTTTGTTTACTATACCAATAAATGTATTATAATATAGATTAAATTTTGTATAACTTCGTTTCTCGTTTTACTTGATTTGGGCACTAATGCCTTTAAAACTGTCTTGGATTCATTATTATAACTGTTTTGATGTCAGATAACCTGGTAAAGGCCGATTCCCAATCGGAAGACATACATTAAAATTGAAATAATTTTCTAATCCCTAATTAAATAACCTAGCATTACAATAATATTAACCAATTTTAGAAAAATATTTCACGACTAGACATTGCATTATAAAAATTTTTCAAATTCAATTGTAAATGTTATTAAAAAGTCTATTTTTAAAAAAAAAAATGCGAAAACTTTTCATATATAAACGCAATTTCCCGTATTGTACGAGGAAAACGAAATCACATACCAGCTTCAGCGTTGCGTTGCATAGCATCACTTTTCTTCACTCCTGGGATGGTGAATCTCCAACTCGGTTGATACTGGTCTATACTATCCATCTGACGTTTAGATTTGTCTAAGCGTTAGCGACATTAGTCTGCGCCCTTAGAACCATAATTCGGGATATGTCGCGTTTCAACCCTCTCCGGTAACTCGAAGGTGTAGTCCTACTAAGACTAGCAGAAGGAACGTAATAATGTATATATAAGCACCCTTATATCCTTCGGAATTTTCAATACGTTTCTTCTACAATGAAAGTGGAGTTAACTACATCACTGCTCGCAACTTCACTTTGTTTTGAGTTGGTAGTACCCATTACATTTTTTTTAATCGGCAGGATCGCCATGTAAAGGTTCTTTCATAATGGAATGGTTGAAATTAAAGACTGATGGAGTGTTCACTTTAGTCTATTGACCTTTCTGTTCTAATAACTGTCACCTCTGATATAGAATAAATCCAAAAACAAGCATTTTTTCCAACCATCAGAAATGCAATACTCTTCTCGACGCGCCTTTCACCAACCAAGTTGGCTTCTCCAGGATATGATGAAAACAAAAAGATTTCACCTTCTATCATCTCCTGAAGACGGCAACTCGGTTGGTGAGAAAAATATTGCATTTCTGGTGACTGATAAAATTGCTTGTTCTTGAACATAATATACTTTGTACCTGCTCAGCCGAGGATCGAATAAGCTTTTCAGTGTAAGACAGAAACAATCTTATCCTGTGACCTAAATTATCATTCACTGAATAAACTAAACGAGTTCGTTGAATGCTGCATTCATTTGGTCGTGTTTGAACTGAAATAGTCCCCAATAAACCCTCGCGGGTTTCAGTATAGGGTCGAAACCAAACTAATCTGAAGTCAAATGTTTTTTTGTAAATCGTATTTCATATGAAATGACTAAATGGCAAAAGGCAAAGGCAAAAGGTCACAAAACTTCTAATATCATACAGCTTTCACTAAATCTCTGAAAATATTTTCTTTTCATCTATTATATGACAATCTGGTAAATAATTAGAGAAAACCTCCTTCTATTTTTCATTGATATGTAATTATATAGTGGTCGAAGAAAAAGAGAAGATTCATGTATTTACAATATCAATCTAAATTAATCGTTTGAATTCAAAGACAATATCTGTTTTGATTAGAAACATTTACCGTTAATGTCAGATTTTCACACCATGAGGAAGGCACATATAAATCAAAACTACTCATATCATATCATACATAGAAGTTTAAAGTGATGAAGCTTCAGTTATCAATAAATGGCTTATCCTTATATCAATACATTTAACTTTTCAAAATTATCCACCAATATACAATATACAGTATCGAGTAGAATTGTGTTTCCTAAAGTGCAAAATTTTTAACATATATGAAATACAAACGTGGAGTTATTCAATATTTTTCAATTTTGTTCGCAGGAACCGATTGTTTGAAGTTGAATCCAGGATTGAAAGTGGAAATATTTTTCATATTTATTGAGTGTTATTCTGGGATATCATTGGCTTTCTACCCAATATATTCATTTCAATTTTCACACGACATTTGAAGTTTTAGAAAATAAAAACTAGTTTTTTCAGGATTTGTCATGATAAATTGAACAAATACGCTCGATTTCAAAAATGTTAAAACATTTTTTCTGCACAATGTTGAATATTGCTTCGCAAATGCGGATTCTGTCAGAAAATGACTCTGAATATATACAACATTTTATCAATAAAAATTAATGACTGAAGTCTATTTCGTTATGAGGTTATTTTTCAAATGAATGAAAATTTGAAGATTTTTTTTCGAAAAATAAACTGTCTCAAAGAATGCATGAATACCTTGAAGTTGGAATCACACGTTAAAAGGTAAGACCTCGTTAGTCCTTAGCTCGCACAAGTTCTCAACTTTTGAGAGTTGTCGTTCGTATGGGGGCGACAGCTGATTAACGGAAAAACAGATTTTGAACAGATTTTTTTTTTTTTTGGAATAATATCTGAATCATACTCATATTCAACAAATTTCCACGATATTATTGAAAAAAATTACCTTTCCCCGAATAATTTTAAATGAAGTTTCTCAGTTGTCAAATAAGAATAATCCAATAGAGAAACTGGATGATTCGAAGTTGGAAAAAAATCAGGTTTCTCGAAGGAAACGAGTCATTTCATAGTGAACTGTAATATCTCAGTGAATACTCATTCAATTAAATCGAAATGGGCGACATTTGAATCAGAGCACTGTCATCAACATAACCCAAGTCGATTAATTCCGTCAGCATGAACATGTTGTGCTCGGAATTCGATGAAGTCGACGAAGGCCGTTTTAATCTGGTCCTGATGAAGGAGTGTTGAAAAGATGGTAGTCAGTAGGCGAGTGGTCTGGGAGGCAAAAATTCGAAGCTCAATTCGTTTAATTTTCGGATGGAGATTTGTGGAAGATGCGTATGGGCGTTGTCGTGGAGTAAGATTGGACCTCTTCTGTTTATCAGTGCCAGCTGCGGCTGACGCAATTTTTGGTACGTTTCGTAGATTTTTTTACAACAGGACGATTTGCCCCGATTTGTGACGATTTGGGCCGATTGCAGGAAGTTATGGTGAATCACATCAGCCGCTGACCACCATACAGTAACCATAGCCTTTTTTGGTGGGTTTTTGCTTTGGGAAGTACCTGGGTGGCTCATCAGTGTTCAACCACTGTCCTGAACATCTGCTGTTGTCGTAGAGGATGAACTTTTCAACATACGTGACAATCCGATCTAAAAAGGTTATTTTTGTTGCGCAAGCGCCGAAAAGAACAGACCTCGAAACGTGACATTTTTGTCGATCGTTCAAAACGTGAGGTACCCACTTTTCGAGCTTTATGACCTTTCCAATACGTTTTTGAACCATCAAAAACTGCAAAGGAGCAGACGCCCAGTTCTTCCGATACCCTACGCATCGTTTCTGATGGGTCAGTCTCCACCAGGAACCTCAACTCCTCGCTCTGGAGTACTGTAGGTCGACCACTTCAGAGCTCATCTTCGAAGCTAAAATCTCAGGAACGTAATTTCGCGAATCAATGTGGAATAGTACGTTCATTATCACTATTATTACCAAATGTCTGGTTAATTTTTTGGGCCATTTCGGCAGCGCTTTGGTACAAATTGAATTCGCAGAGAAAAATTGACCAATTGGCCATAATCAACATTTGTAAAAAATGAGCAGCATCAATGTATAGAGTACAAATCACGACATAGTAAAATAACTTTATTGAATATGGAGCTACAAACGAACAAACGGGCAAATCCTCCGAAACAATCTTATAATTTATCAATAATTCGTATCAGTTACAAACTATAATAGTATTAGCTGAAAAAGTTGAAAATAATATGTAATTCAAATTATAACTGTATCTTTCGAAATGAGATCATGCGTGCTAGAAAATACAGGGTGTTCAATTTCGAAAAATCGGGAAAAGTTTTTTGAATTTTGATTCGCTCAGTATTAGAAGAACAGATTTTTCATCCAAATATCACCTGACATTAGAAAAACAACATTCTGAAAATATCTTTACAATAATGTAGACATTCGAGTTTTCATTGAAAATTTTGAAGGTTGGATAGATCCCCTTTTTCACATTATTTTTTGCAATCGCAACATTATATTTCATTTCAAAAACTCATTTAGGTATACCACGCTTTCATTTGGTACCCTCTACAAAAGTGAAATATCCTCAAGTATATCATGACAATATCAAAATGTAACTTTCAACAAAGAATATTTTTTGAAATGCCGTTTCAAGAAAAAATGTGATATATTAGAATCCTACTTGGTTTGCCCGAAAAATGGTGTGAGAGCACTCCAACACTACAGCAATTTGTTCCCCGATCGTGAAGCTGTGCTCCATCGTCGATTTAGGAACAATGAAAAAGTTTTTTGAGAAGAGGAGAACTAAAAAACGTTTTTTAATATCTGAATTTACAGAAATTGACGTTTCATCCTACTCTGAAGTAAATCCAATTAATTTCATTATAGATTCATCTAGAGAAGTAGCTGTTCCACAGTCTGTCTCTTGTCGGTAGTTTACGAATGAATGCAGGCAAGATTGAAACTT